TTTTTTGTTTATTTTTAGAAAAACATAAACTACAAATGCGTTTGGTAATTGATAAAATGTTTAAAAAAAATTTAAAATATAAAAAAGAGAGAGAAATGGGTGGTGACGAGTGGTGGCGGCGGAAGACGGTGGTGGAAAATGATGGCGGATGGTGGTGGTGGAAGACGGTGGTGGAAAATGGTGGGTAGTGGGGGGTGGGTGGGTGGTGGTGGCGGAAGACAGTGGTGGAAAATGGTGGATGGTGACGGGTGGTGGCTAGTGTTTGGTGGTAAAAAAAAAAAAACTCAAAACTCAAAATGGAAACACATTTTTTGAGTTTTCATTTTTTGGCCAAATTTATAAACTGAGATCATTGATTTATAAATCAAAAATTTTACCAAACAAGTTTTTATTTGAATTTTTTTAATTTTTGTAAATATAAATAAAAAATTGAAAACGTAAGTGTTACCAAACGACACCTTAAAATACATAAATAGATCTCATCTTTTATAATTTTTATCATATAACATATTTCAACACACTTTCTTTAACTCTGTTCTAGAGTGTTGTTAATGGTCACTTTTGGCATTATGGGTTGGGCCCATAGTCAAGTAATGGGCTGGAGTGGTTCCTTGAGTTAGGCCACGATTAGCAATCAACAAACAAGAAGTTAACAACCCAATAATAAACAATAAAGTGCCCGAGTAGGGAGTCCACGGACCAAGAATGCCCAATATCATTTTGGGTTTGAGAAGATCAGCGGGTTGGGTTGGGTGAATTACTATTACATGATAAAAATGAAATTTCCTGAAAAGTCCAATTAGAAAAATGGGTATACTAATAAATTTTTTTAATTTTTTGGTCCATCAAAAAGTTCTGTTCATTTTCAATTGCTATCACAAATTTTATTTTTTATTTTTTTGTCGCTGTTTTCATAAAAAGTGCTACTAAGTGTTAGTTTTTGTGACAATTGAAAATTCGTCATAGAAAAACGTTACTAATACTTATGGGAGTTTTTAATTTTTTTTTCTTTTGATCGGCATAGCAAAAATTTTATTAAAAACATAAAATTAAATGAATAAGGAAATAAATGCACAGAGAGATTTGGAGAGTACAAACAACTCTCTTATTATTGTAGCTCACATTCTTACAACCAAGCTCTTGAACCTTTTAATCTATATAAACACTTGTAAAATTTAATAATGCATAAATTCTTATAACATGACGTATGAATAATTAATTCAAGATAAAATTGGTTGCTCGATTGCTGTGCAATTTAAAATTTCTCAACCAGCCTACAAACTAATTCAACTCACCCATATTTATCTACGGAGTGTACCTTATGCTTGTCTATACACAATTTCTCTCTAATCATAATACCACAATCAGATGATACTCACATACCCACTTCTCATTTTTATCGAAGACCTACAAGGTTTTACCTAGGAATCTGTCCAAAAAATCTAGGGTGGTTTCGATTGGTTTTAAATGTAAGTCCCACAATTCAAGAATTAAATTTAGACAATACATTGAATTTTCAAGCAAAATCTAGACTTCTATTCTGTGCACTGAGCTTTTCTTTTTATTGAATATTTTTTCTCAATTTTGAATAAAACCATGCATTTAATTAGATTTTGAATTTTGGATTGAAGTTTGGAATAAATTATAATTTTCTAAAAAAGTCTAAGAATACAGAAATCGATCACAAAATTAAACACAACACATTGGAAAGTCCCACCTTTATATGAATCCCATATCCATGTATGTGAAAAAAGGATTCTATCTGATTCTCTAATTGATTTATGTACTAATAAGACAATTGTTGTAATTTTTTCTGGGTTACAATTAACAGGTACTCTTATCCCCATTAGCAACAGGGGTGGGTGCAGCATTTGGGGCAACTTTGGATCTCAAGAGAAATTTGGACGGCTTGGATGAATCCCTTGAACAATATGGCATTGGAAGTTTCTATCAAACTAGATCAAAGCTTGACAATTTCTTTAATATTGCCTACGTTTCAACAGCATTTCTTCTCATTGCATTCTTATGCTCTCTAGTTTCATCTACCCTATCTTCACTCTCTCTTTCCAAGGTACAATAATTTGTATAACAAAAACAATGAATATGTTTGTTAATCTCTCCTTCTTCTTCTTCTTCTTCTTCTTCTCTTTCCCCCCCCCCCCCCCCACCCCCCCACCCAAAAAAAAAAGGGCTAAGAAACTTAATTTTTAAACATTAAGACAAGATTGCCCGTAATATTGTTCCTTTTGTATCTCCAATCGCATTTTAACGGAGCTTTAATTTTAGCACGCGGAGTGGTAGGTAATTCTTTGTCAATGTTAGCTTAGCTAACTGCGGGGCCAACCCTTGCTAGAAACAGAAGGAAGAGAAGCAGAGGATGCCTGACAAAAAGTTCATGCAGAGCAGAGAGCGGTGAGAGGGCAGAAGAAAAATATTTTAGCTGACAAAACAATTTTTTTTGCCTCAGGCACCGCTTGAGAAGTCATTTTTATAGCGTTTTTTTAGTTATAAAAAGGACTAAAATAAGTTGATCTTTAATCATAACAAAATAAATATCAATCTCTTCTCTTTT